TACGTATATACAACTTAATATCAATACTTACTGTATAGATCTACTTTTTTAAAATTCTCTATTTGAAAATGCCTACCCTTATCTGCTTTCATCATTGGAGATATTGGATTACAAATCCACAAAGAATGTTCCAAGATGACCAAACTACAAGGTTAAGAAACTACAGTTTGCCCTGGAGGCATCATAGTGAAATAAGCTCTAGTGCTAGCCCAAGATACTCAAAAAGGCTTGGCAGAAAAAAGGGGAGAGAAAGAGGGGAAAAAACTCTATAGCCCCCAAAGCCCAACAAGGGTCTTTGGAGGCTATAGAATGCTAATCACAGGTAGTGAAGCTCATCAATTGTGATTGGATCCATTCATTGTTGTTTGGTGGCATGTTGCTTTTGTGGGAGGAATGGGGGACCACTTGTTGGTATTTGAGGGTTATAGAATCTTATCCCCTTTCTCTCCTCTTTTCTCTCTTAAAAGAAAAAAAATAACATTTACTTAACTAGTAACAGATGACAGGTTACAGAAAAGAGTACTTTTAGGTCTCAAACATCCCTCATCATCGCCCTGCAATTTCACCCTTCTGGCCTCTCAGTTTCAATGGTCAGGATGGCATTTCTCCCATCAAAGAGGCAAATAGCAAACATTTGAGTCTTATAGTTTTAAAAGCAAAATATCAGCTGTAATGCCAATTGCAAAACTGGGACTTCAGCAGCAGCTCTTTTTCATACACTTAATAGTAACACCGATTTAGCTGGTAATTTTGTTTGTCTGTATTAGGCAAGACTGTTGACTAAACACCACAAATGAGAAGCGCTATTTAATTCATTTTTCTGGTTCAATTGTTTTTTATTATTGTTGCAGCAAAAAGATATAGTACAATTCAAATTACCCACTCAGGGGGAGATTGATAAATGCCCAGTCAATCATACATGGATAGAGAAATGTGTAACAACCATTTTAACAGGATAGAAGCCAAAGGACGACCGCACAAGTGGAACCGTCGGTCTATATATATATTTTCTGGGCCCGGATGGATGCCCCATATAAATAACTAATACAAAAGTAGAAAAAAGGGAAGTGAACCAGCAGGTGGTCCTAGGAAAAGAAAAGTAGAAAGGTGGAGAAGAGGGGAAAACATCAGGGGAGGGGTAGAAGGGGGTCCTGCAGGCTAGGGTAGGAATTCCAACCGCTGTAGGTGCCCAGGCTTGTCGGGTGTAGTGTAAGGAGAGCATTCGACCACTAGAGCGTCCAAATTTTCAAAAATTTGGCGTGTCTATCATGTAAGATGCTGGACATAACTTCTCGTTAACCATCAAGGTGGTCAGAATGTTCCTAATGCTACAAAGGACACTGAAGGTGATTTCCAAGCCCGAGCTATGATCCGCTTCTTGGCAATAAATAGATAGGTGGCGAGTTTCTGTTGATGTGAGATATTTAATTCATTTTTAATATTCAGAGCAAACTCCCCCATCCATCCATGTCTTCATGCTTTATTTTCTGAGAAATCACTTAAAACCCCCCCCCCCTAGCATTTTTGCCTGTGGCCATCTTGAGTAAGGGCGAAAGGTCAACCCCTTGGCGCCAGCGCCTCCCGGCCCTTTAAGGGTTTCAGAAGCCAGGAGGCGGGGTGGGGTTTTAAGGTCATGTGACCGCCATGATTCGCCATCACATGATTGCGGTCAATGATCCCAGGAATGAAGAGAGATCGGGGCCTTTCTGTGAGTACTGGACATGTGTGCTGGGAGTGCGCAGGGCGCGCGCTCTCAGCACATATGTTTTTGTTAATTGCACACAAATGTGTGGCCGCTCGGCATCAAGGCCCAGACGCCGGGTGGCCGCACATTTGCGTGCGGCTGGCATGAAGAGGTTAATGTAGCAATTACTTCCTGGAATCCATCTGCCCTTAGCTCATGCATACAGGCAGTGGGTGTGCTTATCTGAGAAAACTACTCCTCCCCTCCTGAAGATGGGGTGGGATGTATACAAACACATTTGCCTAGGCATGGAAACTAGGAAGTATCTAAAAAAATGATAAAAAATATTGTTGACATTAATATGATAGGCCTTTATGTACTGTCAGAATGTTACTATTGTACCCTTACTTATGTTGGTCACACTGGAATGTGCCTACATGTCTTCATTGACGGAAATATTGCACCTTTTTTTTTTTTGTTTGTTTTTCTTTTTTCCTCCCATGCATTTCACGGAGGTGTTTGTGTTTTATGAAAATTTAAAATAAAAATCTATTGAAAGAGAAAATTAAAAAAAACACAGTTTAAAACAAGTAAATGTGATATATTTTCCTATCTATTTACTATCTATTTCACTCTCACTATTTATTAATGTTAGCAGCATAAGGATTCAAAATAGTCGATGTTGATTAAGAGAGTGAAGTTCCTCTGTAAAGGGGTATTACACCCACATTCAAAAATTAATATATTGCAGCTTACCAATCCTCAGATATGGTGACAGCCTAAAAAAAGAAAATTCATGCAATTGGCCCTCTGTTTTTACCTGGTGATCTGGCCAGTAACGCAGTTGACGCAGTTGGCCAGCTTAAGTATGTAAGCAATATGTGTGAGCTAAATATCCCTGTTTATTGCATAGTCTGCTGGAAAGGGTATATACCAGTGTGCAGAGGGTCCTCAGAATTTCTGGCCAGTAATGCATCTCCTGTATTAAAGTGACCGCACTCTAGATGTAGTAGAAACAGAGACACCTGTGGACAGCAGCATTGTCAGTCTGGAGGGAGGGGAGTTATAAAGGTACTAGCAACTTTAGATACACTAACAAACTGAAGCCAAACTCCAGCTCACACTGGAGTTACACAAAGCAGTTTCAGCAACTGTTTTTTTTTTTCTTTTGGGATATAGGTTTTACATGAATAAATGAAAGCTGATCATTGTAAGCACCCTGTCAGTGGTAAATTGCTTATCTCAATCCTGTAACTGCTACATTAGTATGACAGCTTGTTCTGTTGAAAAATAACAGACTTACTGGCTGGATCACCATATGAAAATAATGTAAAGAAAACCTAAAAAAGAAAATGAATACAACCATCCAGGGCTTTTTTTCTAAAAAAGAAAAAATAGGTGCAGGTTCTGCCTCCCTTCAAAGTCACTTCTTGTTTACACCCCCTTCCCACCTCTGAGCATCATTACTAGGTTCATCCCCCTACCCACAACCCAGTACCTCTCCTTTTATAGAATACAGAGCCAAGTATTATTTTGTGGTGCTAAATAATCTGTATGGAATTTGTAATGATAACAAGAATAGCAGAAACACAGATCCACAGCAGCCAGCAGCAATAGATTCCTCCAGCAACAATGAACCCCCAAAACAAAATACCACTCCAGCAACAATAAACCCCCAGCAGCTACAAAAGATCTCTTAGTCAGCATCAATAAACTCTCCAGCAGCCAGCAATAATAGACAATAGAACACTCCCTCACCAGTATATCCCTTCCAGCAACAATTGACCCCTATCAACAATAGATCACCCACCAACAACAATAGCCCTCCCCAGCAATAATAGACCACCACACAAAAATACAACCCCCCCCCCTTAGTGATAACAGATCCTCCAGCAGCCAGTTGCGTTTCCCCGCGTTCCCACTGAAAATAAGCCTTGCAACTATCACATCTAAGATTTGGTAAGCTGCAATAGAATAAAGGTTTATTATATTTATATATATATATATATATTATATAATATATATTATATTTGCTCCTTAACCATTTGCCCTCCTGAGGATATGCCCCCCTTCCTGACCAGGCCATTTTTTGCGATACGACTGTGTTACTTTAACTGACAATTGCACGGTCATGCAACACTGCACCCAAATTAAATTTACTTCCTTTTTTTCCCACAAATTGAGCTTTCTTTTGGTGGTATTTGATCCCTTGTGCGTTTTTTATTTTGTCTGCCATTAAAATAAAAACGATTGACAATTTTAGGAAAAGAACAATATTTTGGACTTTTTGCTATTAAACATTTCCAGTAAAAAAATTTTAAAAATCAAATTTTGTCATAAATTTCGGCCAAAATTTATTCTACTATATGTCTTTGCTAAAAAAATCCCAATACATGTATATTATTTGGTTTACCTGAAAATTATAGTGTTTACAAATGGCGGTATTGATACTGGGATTTTTGTTTTTCTTCTACTAGTAATGGCGGTGATCAGCGACTTTTAGCGAGGCTGCAGCGGACATTCTGACACTGGGGGGAACTAACTTGGTGTCACTGACATCCCCAGTGACACCAATACAGTGATACGTGCTAAAAAAAAAAAAGCACGGACTGTACTAATGGCACTGGGCAGGAAGGGGTTAACATGAGAGGTGATCAAAGGGTTAACTATATGTAGGGAGTGTTTTATTAGGGGGCAGTGTCTGTGTACACAGCCATCCTGAGCAGAGTGCCTGAGCTGACAGGGAGGAAGACTCTTTATAAACAAAACCGTCTTCCTCCCCATTGGAGATGCTCGGTAATCACCAGGCGCTGGCAGGTAATTATCGGACCTGGTGATTGACAGCCGCGGCCGCAAATGGCAGTGCGGCTCACGCGCGCCCCATGCCCGGAAATGCAAAATCACATGTATATATGTATACAGGGGCGGACTGACCATTTGGAAACTCGGGCACTGCCCGAGGGCCCGGGGTCAGTAGGGGGCCCCATGAGATGCCCCTGGTACCTTTTTCATAGGCTTTTTTAAGTTTGGGCAAAGACACAGGGGCCCCATGATCCCCTATCGCCCGGGGGCCCCATGAGTTGTCAGTCCGCCCCTGTGTGTATATATATATATATATATATATATATATATATATATATATATATATATATATATATATATATATATATGTGTGTGTGTGATTTTGCGTACCCATGCCACCCTGTAGCAGTATTTCTGCTATAGTGCGGTCGGGAAGCAGTTAATATATTTTAGTGCACTGATTCCTGTAACACTAGACCTAAAATTAATTCAGTCATGCTTTTATATTTTGTAGATACCAACACTAGTATCCAGGGCATGTGAAGAACTGCAGGCTGAAATAAACATTCTGGAGAAGAAGTTACAGCAAGCTCAAGCAAGACTTCTGGAGAAAAATCAAGCAAAAGACACTGAAATGACCAACTTAAAAAAAATTATTTCTGAACTGGAAATTCGTTTGAAAAGAGACTATGAACACAATACCTCTTCTCTAGAAGAAATGAGAAAAGAAATTCACTCAAAGGCTGAGCAACTGAATGAAATGAACATGAACTGTGCACAGCTAAGACATCAGCTAGACCAAGTCACGCAGGAGGTAAGGAGCCACAATACTAAACCATTCTAGGCCCTTGGTTCACACTGCAATCATCTTTGCCTTGACTTTGGAATAAAAGAAAGTACAAAATAATGAATAAAACATAAAGTGCAATTACAGTTTTGAGTTAGATATATGACAGCACCATGATTGCCAGTTCAGTGGAAATTTCTAGAGTACGCAGAATGCCTTATCAAACAACAAAATTTGCCATTTTTTCAGAATCCCGCACTTACTTATGACAATGCAGACAATAAGGGCTCGTGCACATGGATGGCAAATATGCTCTAGTGTAAAATTCTCAGCGGTTTTCTTTGCCCAGAGAGCTACATTTGCTTCAAAGTTTGGCTATGAGCATTTTTTAAGTGATTTGCACGCAATTTTGCGTGTCACATAGAGACATCCTATTCACTTGAATAGGCCATCCTCAAAGTTTGTCACTCAAAAGGAAGCTCCTGCTCTTTTTGGGTGATAAGCTTAACGCTTTTTTTGAAAGGTGCAAGTTGCCACACAATAATTGCGGCAGAATTGCATCGCATTTAGTGATTTGCACACGATTCTGCTTGTTACATAGAGCCATCCTATTCACTTGAATGGGCTGTCCTACACAAGCTTGTCACTCAAATGGCTGCTCCTTTTGGGGCGATATGCTTAACGTTTTTTTGAAAGGTACAATTTGCCACGCAACAAGTGCGGCAGAATTGCATCACATTTAGTGATTTGTACACGATTCTGCATGTCGCATAGAGCCATCCTATTCTCTTGAATGGGCTGTACTACACAAGTTTGTCACTTGAAAAGGAGCTCCTGTTCCTTTTGGGGCGATACGCTTAACTTTTTTTTGAAAGGTGCGATTTGCCACGCAGCAATTGCTGCAGAATTGTATCACATTTAGTGATTTGCACATGATTTTGTGTGTCACATAGAGCCATCCTATTCACTTGAATGGGCTGTACTACACAAGTTTGTCACTCAAAAGGAAGCTCCTGCTCCTTTTTGGACGATAAGCTTAACGTTTTTTTGAAAGGTGCAATCTGCCACGCAACAATTGCGTCAGAATTCCATCACATTTGGAATGTCATTAAGGGATAATAGCACCCAAATGCGTGTTGTGCGCTGTGCAGGAATCGCCACGCCATTTGGGATTGAGGTCATAATCGCAGCAATTCTGCCTGCGATCCCAAATTGCAAGATGTGAAAAGGGCCTGAAACTTACTTGCATCAGTATTTACAATTGCATGTATTTCCCAGGTATATGCAAGTATAAGAGGTTGCAGCCATTCACTTCTACTACTGCTGCTTCCTGGGAGTGGAAAACCACTGGGATTATTTCTGCTAGAAAAAAAAAAAACAGCATTTTTGCTTTTGCATGATTGATGATGTAAGTCATCAGAGCTTCCCCTCATTTACTAAACTCTGGAGCAACTGCACTTACAAAGTGCACAATCTACTTGCCTTTTCGTAAATCCACCCCAGTTTCACCATGACAATTAGTGAGAGGAAATCTTTCTAACAGCCCTGAATAGTAATAAATATCCAAAAGTGTCTCTAAACGTCTACTCTGTCCTAACAAGCAAACAAAAGGTTATGGCTGGACATATGCTAGAAAATATAACTATAGGTAAAACTTTTTTTTTGATAAAGTGTTAAGGTGTTAGTGCAGCGGTTCTCAACCTGGGGGTCGCGACCCCTTTGGGGGTCGAACGACCATTTCCCAGGGGTCGCCTAAGACCATCGGAAAACACATATTTCCGATGGTCTTAGGAACCGAGACACCGCTGCTGTCTCCGGCGATGTGTGGGGCGGGATGATATGCTGCCCCTGTCACCGCCTCCTCGCCGCTGATTGGCCACCGGAACTGTAGCTCAGGAGAGGCACACAGGCGGCCAATCACCGGCGAGAAGGTGGAGCTTGGAGAGGAGGAGCCGAGCGGCAGCGCGCGGAGATCGAAGAAGATCGAGGGAGCTGCCGGAGCGAGTGAAGAGAGAGGCCAGAGAAGGAAGACAGCTGACAGGTAAGTGCAAATTTTGCTGCTGCAGCCAGGTATGCAGGCTGTAGATGGGAGAGGGAGAGAGCGGCCCAGGCTGGAGCAGGAGTCAGCAAGGTAAGTATCATTGGTGTCAGTGGAAGGGATAGTGCCCCATCATTTGTGTCACTAATACCAACGATGGGGCACTATTCCTCCCCCCACTGACACCAACGATGGGGCACTATTCCTCCCCCCACTGACACCAACGATGGGGCACTATTCCTCCCCCCACTGACACCAAACGATGGGGCACTATTCCTCCCCCCACTGACACCAACGATGGGGCACTATTCCTCCCCCCCACTGACACCAACGATGGGGCACTATTCCTCCCCCACTCACTGACACCAACGTTGGGGCACTATTCCTCCCCCCACCGACACCAACGATGGGGCACTATTCCTCCCCCACTGACACCAACGATGGGGCACTATTCCTCCCCTCACTGACACCAACGATGGGGCACTATTCCTCCCCCACTGACACCAACGATGGGACAGTATTCCTCCCCCCACTGACACCAACGATGGGGCACTATTCCTCCCCCCACTGACACCAACGATGGGGCACTATTCCTCCCCTGACACCAACGATGGGGCACTATGACACCAACGATGGGGCACTATTCCTCCCCTGACACCACGATGGGGCACTATTCCTCCCCCCACTGACACCAACGATGGGGCACTATTCCTCCCCCCACTGACACCAACGATGGGGCACTATTCCTCCCCCCACTGACACCAACGATGGGGCACTATTCCTCCCCCCACTGACACCAACGATGGGGCACTATTCCTCCCCCCACTGACACCAACGATGGGGCACTATTCCTCCCACTAACGCCAATGATGGGGCACTATTCCTCCCACTGATACCAATGATGGGGCACTATTCCTCCCACTGACACCAATGATGGGGCACTATTCCTCCCACTCACACCAATGATGGGGCACTATTCCTCCCACTCATACCAATGATGGGGCACTATTCCTCCCAGTCATACCAATGATGGGGCACTATTCCTCCCACTCATACCAATGATGGGGCACTATTCCTCCCACTCATACCAATGATGGGGCACTATTCCTTCCACTGACACCAATGATGGGGCACTATTCCTCCTACACTCATACCAATGATGGGGCACTATTCCTTCCACTGACACCAATGATGGGGCACTATTCCTCCCACTGATACCAATGATGGGGCACTATTCCTCCCACTCATACCAATGATGGGGCACTATTCCTCCCACTCACACCAATGATGGGGCACTATTCCTCCCACTGATACCAATGATGGGGCACTATTCCTCCCACTCCACTATTCCTCCCACTCACCAATGATGGGGCACTATTCCTCCCACTCATACCAATGATGGGGCACTATTCCTTCCACTGATACCAATGATGGGGCACTATTCCTCCCACTGATACCAATGATGGGGCACTATTCCTCCCACTGACACCAATGATGGGGCACTATTCCTCCCACTGATACCAATGATGGGGTACTATTCCTCCCACTCATACCAATGATGGGGCACTATTCCTCCCACTGATACCAATGATGGGGCACTATTCCCCCACTGATACCAATGATGGGGCACTATTCCCCCCACTGACACCAATGATGGGGCACTATTCCTCCCACTGACACCAATGATGGGACACTATTCCTCCCACTGACACCAATGATGGGACACTATTCCTCCCACTGACGCCAATGATGGGACACTATTCCTCCCACTGATACGCCATGATGGGGCACTATTCCTCCCACTGACGCCAATGATAGGGGCACTATGAGGCACTATTCCTCCCACTGACACCAATGATGGAGCACTATTCCTCCCACTGACACCAATGATGGGGCACTATTCCTCCCACTGACACCAATGATGGGGCACTATTCCTCCCACTGACACCAATGATGGGACACTATTCCTCCCACTGACACCAATGATGGGGCACTATTCCTCCCACTGACGCCAATGATGGGACACTATTCCTCCCACTGACGCCAATGATGGGCACTATTCCTCCCACTGACGCCAATGATGAGGCACTATTCCTCCCACTGACACCAATGATGGAGCACTATTCCTCCCACTGACACCAATGATGGGGCACTATTCCTCCCACTGACACCAATGATGGGGCACTATTCCTCCCACTGACACCAATGATGGGACACTATTCCTCCCACTGACACCAATGATGGGACACTATTCCTCCCACTGACACCAATGATGGGGCACTATTCCTCCCACTGATACCAACGATGGGACACTATTCCTCCCACTGACACCAATGATGGGGCACTATTCCTCCCACTGACACCAACGATGGGGCACTATTCATCCCACTGATACCAACGATGGGACACTATTCATCCCACTGACATCAGTGATGGGGCGCTAGTCCTCCCACTGCAAAATTACAGTTATGAAGTAGCAACGAAAATAATTTTATGGTTGGGGGTCACCACAACATGAGGAACTGTATTAAGGGGTCGCGGCATTAGAAAGGTTGAGAACCACTGTGTTAGTGCCACTGTCAGATTTTTTTGTCACCAGTAATAAAATATGGGTAAATCCAAAATTCTAAGTTGTCATCAGAATGGAAATAGAGGGAAAAATCTTCCAGTGAAGACTGGCTCCTGGGACAACTGTCTAAGAGGATATTTCTCCTTAGGCCCCTTTTACACAGGCGTGCCGTTTTTTTTCAGTCACATTTTTTCCAAGAAAAAACAAATCAGTTTACATCCGTTTTTCATCAGTTTACATTTGTTTTTCATCAGTTTATATCCATTTTCATCAGTTTTTTGATACGTTTACATCTGTTTATGTCCATTTTTCATCCGTTTACATCCGTTTTTTCGTCCGTTTTCATCCTTTTTTGTCCATTTACATCCACTTTTTTCAGTTCCG